AGTCCTCCGTAAATTCAATTGGCTTGATGGTGTTATTTTTTACCTTTCAGTTTTCTTCGTTTATTAGATATTCCATATCGTCGTTGTTATGGGTTTCCTCGGGAAGTCCTTTTCGTTCCGCTCGGTCTTTTTCCTTTATCAACGTATATTTTATGAAAGCGGGGACGTCGTAGTTTTTCTTTTGCATCGCTGCACGTTCTAGTTTGCAGACGGCTTCTATGCCGCGGATGTGTTGCACCACAAACTTATCCGCTCGCACTGGCCGATGAAATATGCTCATATCGGTGTTCTTCAAATCCTTAAAGTAGGCTTCCACGAGGGCCGAAGATCCGACGTCATACTTTGAGGAGAATTTTGTTTTTAAAACGTTTGTCCATAGTACGAAATATTGTCCCAATTTTAGGAGAGGTTGCACCAATTCAGGTAGGTAATATGGATTTGGTCGGCACTTGGGAGAATTGAACATGGATGCCTCATCTTCGGCAGAGTTTTTAATTCTGGAGATGAAGTCAGATATATCGTTGCTAACATCCTCCGTTTGTTCCGGTAGAAATTCATTTTCATTTAGTTCTTCTTCATAAACCGGAGCGGTAAACGTGGCTATCCGGTAAAGAAGATAGTTTTCATTTTTTAAACTCGCCAAGATTTCTCCTTTTTCATCCTCTCCGGAGGACTCGCTCAGCGCAACAATTAGCATGGACTTAAGCATTTGGGCAAACGTCTCCTTGGTTTCACAAGTCGTTGCAACTCCTATGATCTTATATAAAAGTCCTTCACATTTGGCAATTTTCCTTTGAACACATTTTTCCTGCACATCATTTTTATCAGACGCGCGATATCCAGCCGAATATAGCATCGAGGCAGTTGAGTCGGCATTTCATTTGACAAATATTGGTAGCATTTTGTCATATATGTATGTTTTCAGTCTGCATTCATTAAAACTCAAGCTTATTCCGTTGAGAAGAGCTAAGGAGAAGTCGCACACAACCTCCTGGGGAAAATGTCCATATTTAGTAATAAATCTGCTTAGCCAAAATTGGATGCTTGCAGTGTCGTGTTTGGCGGAAAGCATTTGAAATACAGGAAATATGCTGTCATCGCCCTCCATCACAATTTGGTAAAAGAACACATAACTTGTATCGCCGTTTGTTTTTTTGATTGGCATCACCACGCTCCCAGTAGCGTCCACCGAAATTTTTTGCACTGCTTTTATTCTTGTTGCGTATGTCTTAATTTGGGCGCCTGTGCAATAAATGCAGAAAAACTCATCCAATCCAATATCCAGGATGCATCCAGCCAATTCACCTTCATATTTTTTTAAATATAGGGATGTTATTGGATCACGATCCTTAATGATTCCGAGGTGCTTGTTGGTGGCCTCTTCACGAAGTTTTCGTAAAGTTGGTAAAGTCAGCAAATAGCTCGGCTCTGGGTCGTCCTCATTCATGTCCTTAGTGGCTTCCTTCTTCCACAATGCCGCTTTTTTCAAAATCAATTCCTCTCCGATTTGGATCCAGTACACTTCCGTTTTTTACTGTGAGGAATACCCCGAGTATCTGGTACTAAACCCGATATGGTGATGCCACAGTCCAAATCCGGTTCAGTAAGGCAGTGTCCTTTTAATATCGAGTTGCACTCACTACAGCGACCTTCAATTTGAAGCCAGATACTGTCCGCTTTTCCAGATAATTTGGCCCGTTTTAAATTTAAAAGCACAAGGAAGCGGTATTTTTCGTACAGGTGTTTGGCAACTATATCCGTCCAGTTATTTTGCAGATTGTTCCTTGACCGCAAATCCTTGTCCTGATCGGCTGTAGGGGCAATCAATTTCCAAACTTCTTGGTCTATGTGCAGGTTCAAATAAATTGTGGTGAGGGATCCACTCTTTGGAGCATCAGTGACCTGGAATTCAGGGTCGTCATCAGGTGCAGTGCAGTTCATGGTACTGTTGGCAGTTATATCCGACTGCGCTAAGCCACATGGTTCTTTCACAATATTTATTACATTATTTCTATTGACTCGGTCATAGAAATTCAAAGTCCTTGCATTGATCCTTCCGTGCAATTGGTTGCTTGCTTCCGTCCAAACATTGTCTCGTCTTGGCTTAATAGCACCAGTTTCGGTAAATATGTTGACGCTGCAAAGTGCGTCCACTATGGTAATAAAATCAATTTGTGGCTTGACTGGCATCGTGTTAAAAATATAAAACATTGGTATCACTGTATATCACTCTATCAAGCACTAGGCACGATAATTTTAGATTTTATTTATATTAATTCTCACACTTATCACTTCTGAAAACTCGGAATATTAAAATTTAAATGAAGGTATACCGCAGTGGCGTAACTACCGGTGTTCCATGTGTTCCAGGAACACAGGCCCCCGAGCTTTGGGGGCCCCGAAAAGGCCCCGAAGGGGCCCTTAAAGGCGTGTCGGGGATTACGGAAAATTAATGAAAAATTACATTTTTCGCAATTCAGATCTTTGGGGGCCCCTTTGATACCTAAATATAAAGGTGATATTTCAGACACAATTTCAAGCCAACTACTGTCTTTTAAGGAGTGCTTCAACAATCATTTGAAAACAATTAACACTTCTGGGCAAATTCTTGATTTCATTCTATTAAAAAATTACTCCTCGAGCAGTAGTTTTTCTGAAATTGATACAGCATGTTGTCTGTTTCTCACCATCCCAGTCACCGTCGCAAAAGCAGAAAGATCATTTCAAAATTGAAGATAATAAAAAATATCTTCGCAATACGATGGGACAAAAACGATTGAGCTCTGGCTCTAAGTGTTCCTCCCGTCACCGAACACAAGTTTTTCTGACGTAGTTACGCCCATGGTAGAATAAGTACAAGGTAGTCTCGTCGGCTTTTTTTTCCCCTATCGACACTACAATTAGAGCGAGAGAGAGTGTTTTCCTATGGGTTCGGGTCGATAGGGGAAAAAACCCGAACGATTTTGCAGCCGACGAGACTACCTTGTATAATTCTACCATGGTTACGCCACTGGTATACCGAAATTATAAATTTAATTCACCTTAAGTATTTATATTAATATTTCATGCACCTATCACTGCTGAAAGCACGGGATTTTAAAATTTAAAGAAAAGTGTACCGAACTTATAAATAAAATTTATAATTTATTTATTTATATAATATTTGTTTTCTAATTTATAGACCATAGAATATTAAGATGTTGCATCTCATAAAAAAAATTTTGTTTCTGTTTCGAGCTTCATGATGCGGTCGGTCGGGTGTACGCGTTTTACTTTTACTTGCTATTGAACAGTCGGTGTATCAAGACGTTTAATAATTTGCTTTTCCTTTTTATTTATCATGAGCAAACGAGATGCGAAGTCCGGCATTTTGTGCCGTGTCAAAGATTGCAAAAATTCTCGACGCGATGGAAATCTGAAATTTTTTAAATTTCCATCTGGTGACACAATTTTTGGCCAAATATGGCGCGAAAAATGCTGTATCCCTTTGCAGGATTATGACAAAATTATGTACATTTGTCAAAACCATTTTGAATCTACATATATTGGCAAAAATAAATTAAAAAAGGAAGCGATTCCAACTTTAAATTTGATGAACGATGAGGTAATGGATACCGATGATCTGGTTGAGCCAGAGCCAGAGCCTGCATTCTCGTGTAAACATTGCAGAAAAATTTTAAAATTAAAAAAATTTTACCAAAAAAATGTAATTTGCTATTAGCGAAAATAAAAATTTTAACAAATAAACAAAAAACCAAAAAATCTTTAAGTGTAAAGCCTAAAATGAATATTTCGGGACAGGCTTTAAATGTAATAAATGACTTACAGATAAGTAAGGAATCAAAGATTTTTTGTAAATTGTTGGCTGCAAATCGTCCAAGGCAATATTGCGAAGAGGCAAAGTTTTTAGCCCAAAATATTTATTATGTTTCCCCATCAACTTATAATTTTATGCGAAACAGGCTCAACCTTACTTTGCCCCATTGCAGTACACTGTATAGATGGAATCCAATTAAGACCCTTCAACCTGACTTCACAAGCAGTGCCATTGAAAATATCACAAAAATTTGCTTTCAATTAAAAAATACAAATAATACTGAAGTCGTTCTTATGAAGGTCGAGATGACAATTCGAAAGGAACTTCGGTATAATGAGAAACTGGACTTAATTGATGGATTCACGGATAAAGGCTTTGAACCAGGGACCGTAAATAATGATTTTTTTCGCTATTTTTAAATGAATAAATCATACACTTCCAATCAACATAGAACAAGCATGACTAGCACGTTTTTATCCTTTAAGGATACACTATGAATATCCTTAATGATTTTTAATTTTTAATTGTTATATTTATTCTTCTATTGTTAAACATTATTTTTGAGCAAAAAAAATAAAAATCACAAATAATCATTAAGCTTGAGCAAAAAAAATAAAACTCAAAAATAATGATTATTTGTGATTTTTATTTTTTTCGCTCAAAATAAAACTCACCAAGCATCAACTTTTGATCCTTTAAGGATATTGCCAATATTGTCCTATGTCCTTATAAAGGGACCCTAGAGCAACAATTGACAACAACAACAACAACAACAAAATGTATTTTACCTGTGTTTGTTGCAATTATTTAATATAAGGTCAACTGTTACATACAGAGCAGCAGCATTAGATATACACAATTACCAAAACAATGATAATAATGATGATAATAATGATAATTATCAAAATGATCAATGTGATAAAGCCGAAAGCGTACGAGAAGAGAAAACAAAAGAAGACAGCGGAAGCGCACGCGCTTAGATCTATTTATAGTAGCGCTTATCTTAGTTTAAGACTGAAACTTATCAGTAAGAATGACTTATTGTAGATCATTTCTATTGAGTTTCGATATGGGTCGCAAGCGAAATTTTGTTCTCCGGAATTTTTTTAATTTTTACGCGGGAAATAATGTTTCCGAGTGCAAAATTTGCAAATTAACATTAGTTGGCGAGTACGTGTGCAACATGAAGCGGCATATGCAAACTAAGCATAAATCGGAGTATGAAGCTGCGATAGCTAACATACAGGAAGACGAAGCTGCCGAAAAAAAAATTAAATTTGCAATTACATTGGGCAAAAATGAAGTGAAGGATGCGTGCATCGATTTGGTGACGCTGGAAAAGCTTCCGTTGGCTATTTTCGATTCGGAGTGCTTCAAAACGCTAACGTCCCAAATATTTTCTGCACTGGATATGCCGGCTGTTTCGTCCAGAAACATAATGGGCATGGTGGAGGAAAAATTCAATGACATTAAAAACAGCATAATGGCCAGTCTCAAGGACAAAATGCTGAGCTTAAAAATGGACACAGCCACCCGGTGTAATCGTGGGATCTTGTGTGTAAATGTGCAATATATTCACGACACTGGTATTGCAATAAGGACCTTGGGCCTTATTGAGCTAAATATGTCGCACACGTCCAGAAACATTTGCTCTGAAATTGAGTCACTGCTGAGCCAATTCGCGATTCAGAAGCAGCAGATATACACCATAACCACGGACAATGGCCGAAATATGGTGAAAGCAGTTGAGCTGCTTAATGATACAGAGACTGCTGACATTGACGAGGACGACGAGGATGAGGAAGAGCTAATGTTAAATACTAGCATTGGTTCCATCACCTCCGTACGTTGTGCAGCACACACCCTTCAGCTAGCTGTGAAGGACTTCCTGGAAGACTTGGAAGCAGCTGACTTTATTTGTAAAGCGCGAAAGCTTGTGAAGCTGTTAAGGACGCCAACCTACAGGTCTGTTTCATAACATTTTATTTATTACCTTTTATAAATGAACTATTTTCTTTTATTTATATATTTAGGCATTTGATAACTGAGGCAGCATTACCGCAGCCTGTAGTTGATGTTGCGACTCGATGGAGCTCAACATATAATATGTTGAGTAAACTGCTGGGCTTTGAGACCTTTTGCGAGCGCCACTGCAAACATTCAATGAAGCTGACTCCGACTGAGTGGTTGGATTTAAAACAATTGGTGGAAGCTTTAGAGCCAGCTTACTTGGCAACATTGCAATTTCAAAGCAGCCAATTATTTATGAGCGACTTCTACAAGCTTTGGATGGAACTCAAGCTCACAGTCGGGGCAAAGCAGACAACATATAGTAAAGCGTTAAGGCTTGCTATTGAGGCGCGAGAAAAAAGCCTGTTAGCAAATAAAGTCGTCATTTGCAGCCTTTCCTGGACCCACGCTTACGTCGCATATTGCTGCAACACCCTGAAAACGTGATGCGCGCGAAAACGGAGATTAAACAGCTCTTACGCCAACTGTGGCAGTTGAAGGAAAAGGTTAGTAACTTCATTTTATTTAAATAAAAAGCAATAATTAATTCAACATATTTTCAGATTGATACAGATGAAGCCTGCTCAACATCTAACTTGACAGAGACCAATTTGCTTTCGCAAAATTCTCAGTCTTGCTCGCTCTTGACCGAGCTTTTAAGTAGCATTGAGGTCGATGCCGAAGAGGAAGCTGACGATGATGGGCAGCAGGAAATTTTAAAAGGATATGCTGAAATTGATAGTTACAGCCCGAAGCCCATCAGCCTAGACGCTGATATAATGCAGTACTGGAGTGAGAAGCAATTTCAGTACCCGAATTTATATCAGCTTGCTAAGGTGGTGCTTGCGGTTCCAGCTACCCAAGTAAGCGTAGAGCGTGCCTTTTCTGCGCTTAAAATAATGCTAAGCGACCAAAGGTGCAACTTGTCGAGCGAGTCGCTATCAAAATTGTTATTCCTAAAATTAAATAAAAATTATAAAAATACATAAATGCATAATAAATTGAAAATTAATGTACCTAATTGTTCTACTGGTTGATCATTTTGATAATTATCATTATTATCATCATTATTATCATTGTTTTGGTAATTGTGTATATCTAATGCTGCTGCTCTGAATGTAACAGTTGACCTTATATTAAATAATTGCAACAAACACAGGTAAAATACATTTTGTTGTTGTTGTTGTTGTTGTCAATTGTTGCTCTAGGGTCCCTTTATAAGGACATAGGACAATATTGGCAATATCCTTAAAGGATCAAAAGTTGATGCTTGGTGAGTTTTATTTTGAGCGAAAAAAATAAAAATCACAAATAATCATTATTTTTGAATTTTTTTTTTTGCTCAAGCTTAATGATTATTTGTGATTTTTATTTTTTTTGCTCAAAAACAATTATTAGTCTTGATTTAAACAATTAAAAATCGATAAGTTATCATTACAAAGTAATTTTTAAAATATTACTTATAATGATTACGGTCCCTGCTTTGAACATGTGCCTTATGTTGCAAAGCAAGTAACTGTTTTTATGATTAAGTCCATTTTTTCTAACACAAGCTGTGTGCTGAACTACTTTGTTTCTCAAAATGGAAATGGTGAAATTCTTTGCGAAATTGTCAAGAGAAATGTAAGCATCTTACAAAATATGGGGGTTTTCGTCAAAGTCCTAGTGTGTGACCAAGGCTCATCTAACAGGAAATGCTTCACAACGGTCGGTGTAAGCAAGGAGAGCCCATTTTTTGACCATGAGAATCGGAAAATATTCTGCATGTATGATTTTCCACATCTCATTGAGTCCTTGAGAAATGGAAAATCAATTTATGGATTGAAGCAAGCGGCACGATGTTGGTTTGAGACATTTAAAAATGTTTTGAAAACTATGGGTTTTAGCAATTCGGCCGTGGATAGATGTATCTATTTATTAGACCATGGGAATATCTTGAACAAATATCTAAGTGCTTTTATTCGTAGATGATCTAGTAACTGTAACAGAGAGCTCTGTAACAATGGCTAATCTTAAGAAATTCCTAATGAGTAAATTTCGGATGACCGACTTATGTGAAATAAGCCATTTTATTTGAATAAAAGTAGAAAAGAAAGATGGTTATATGTATCTTAGTCAATCAACATACAATAATAATATTTTAAAGAAATTTAATATGGAAGATTGTCATGCTGTTAGTACACCACTTCCAACTAAGTTAAATTATGAAGCCTTAAACTCAGATATAGAGCGCCGTGCCGAAATCTGATTGGGTGTACTGATGTTATGCACTCGTCCCGATCTGAGTACAGCTATAAGCATATTAAGTAGATACACAAACAAAAACAATTCAAAATTATGGCGAAATCTTAAAAGAGTTTTAAGATATCTGAAGGGTACTGTAGATCTAAAATTAACTTTTATGAAAAATAAAGATTTTAAGGATACAATTATCGGATATGTTGATTCTGATTGGGCAGGAAGTGATACCGATAGAAAAATTACAACTGGCTTTATATTTAAAATGTTCGACTCAAATGTAATTTGCTGGAATACAAAGAAACAAAATTCAGTGGCTGCTTCATCCACTGAAGCCGACTATATGGCTTTATTTGAGGCAGTAAGAGAAGCTTTATGGCTGAAATCGTTAGTATCTAGTATAAAATTTGAATTAAATAAACCAATCAAAATACTAGAAGATAATCAAGGTTGCGTTAATATACATAGCTAATAATCCTACATGCCACAAACGTTCGAAGCACATTGATATCAAGTTCCATTTCTCAAGAGAACAAGTTGAAAATAAACTAATTATTTTAGAATATATTCCCACAGAACACCAGGTGGCAGATGTCCTGACAAAGCCGTTGCCCGCTGCGAGATTCCAGATCCTAAGAAATGAAATGGGTCTCACAAACCAAGCTGTATAATATGTATATTTAAAATTTAAATCAAAAGACTATTGAAATTGATATTTAATTTGAAGCTTAGTTTAAAGTTTAAATGATAAACTGTTAATGGAATTTATGAATTTTTTTGTTTGCTAAATAGAATCCAAGAAAACATTGAAATAATGAAGTCTTAAATGATTTTTCTTAACCAATGATTCGATTAAGGTTTTTCTGGGTTTCCCTTTATCCTAGAACTAGTTTGTTTTTGTTCAAAAATTAATAAAACTATTTCTAGATGAATATGGATCATTATTATTATTCCCAGAATAATCAACTGTCCAAATAAGAATATTATTGTAATACTAATTTAATTTTTAATTTGTTCAACGTATCTTTTGAGGAGGTGTATGGAAAAATACTAAATCAACGTTTTTCCAGTAGCAAAAGATACTTGATCAAACACAAGTTGGTAACACTAAAAGTGTCCTGATCACTTTCTTTTCGTACTTCCTTCTTTTTTGAGTTTAACCATAGAATGGACAAGTTGATTTCACAAGTGCATATTAAAGAAGATATATAATATCATAAAAGAAACACACGAATCGTTTTTATTAATTGTGGATTACCTGGGTGGCCTTTTCGCAACACATATTTTTCCACTTATATTATCTTTTTATTTTGTTTAATGTTCTTGTGACCCCACTGTGACCTCCAGTTATTGGGTTATCATGAAATTGTTCTAATATAGTGCTTAGTTGATCTTTTTTTTTTATTTATCTTTTTTATGGGTGGTAATATAATTATTTTTATTTTTTTCAAAAATTTATTACCAATTTCATTAAATTCGTTTATAGTCGTTAAGTGGAAAAGTTTATTATTTATTTCAATAAGTAGAATATGAATTTTTTAATCATTGATTTCTTTTTCAAGCCTTGGAAAGAATCTCTCTAAGTCGATTTTTCCTTTAATGACAAAATCCATTATATTGAATGATACAAAATGTTAAAGGCACCCCCGACACGGAACGGACTCACCGGAGATCTGTAGACCGTTAGCGTTGATTTAGTCGTCGATGGTGAGTATTTCTTCAAAAATTTTAATATATGCTCCTCCAGATGTATGTTCTCCTCGGGAAAACTTGTAGTTGTATTCCCTCCAAAATCGCGTGTGCTCCGAAAAAGGTTATAATTCCTTCACAAGTAATACATGGGTTTCTTCGGAAATTATGTTTTTCCACATAGATGTATTCCGCGAAACAAGTTGTGCCTCTTCCAGAATTAAACATGTACTCCAAAAAAAAGTATGTTTTCTTCAAAAGGTTATATTTTTTTTCCAAAGGAAAAAAAATAAGAATTCCTCAAGAAAACTCCCGGGTTCCTTTATCGTGGAACCCCGGTTTCCTTGTTTACAAATTTCACAAAATTTCTATTAGTTAAAATTGTCTTTTCGGGTACTACTCAACGGTGATCCGTACTATCACGCCATGTTCCCTACCATCTTTCCCAGGCTCTCTCGAAGATGGGTCAATGGACATCTGCAAGGCCATCTAAGAGAAATCCCTATCAGGAATATTCTGCATAATAGATATGTAAGTAGAAACTTGCCCATGACCCAAAAGGTGGCGCTGCTCTAACCATCGCTACTTGTTCTAATGTATCGATAGCGTCCTCCTGGAATCGACTCCAACTGCAACAATTCATTTGTTTACATTTTAGTCTTATATATGTATATTGGTAATAATTTTAATTTTGTTTTTTTTTTTTTTTTTTTAATTTTTAAATTCATTTATTTGTTTTATTTTAATTGTTTACATTTAAGTCTTATATATATAGGAAATAATTTTAATTTTGTTTTTTTTTTTTTGTTATTGTGGTTAGAGGTGGAGAACTATCGATAGTCTGCGCCATCGATAGCGCTTGATAGTTTTCATAAACTATCGACTATCGGCGATAGTAAAAGAAAAGCTATAGTCGATAGTTGTCGATAGTGCAGAGTGCGTATGTATTTCACAACAAACCGTTATAGCAGTAATGGCATCTCACGTAGCACTTTTGTTATTGGGTAATTGTTTACAAGTGCGGTCCACGGTAAAAACAGCTTAAAAAAATAAAGTAAAATATGGAAATGATGTGTTTTTTTCTAAAACTTCGAAATCCGTTGGCGGAAAGTGAAAATTTTGCACCGTTTTTTTGTTATTAACAATTAAAGATTCGATTTGTAGTACAAATTCGGATCAGAGTGACCGTATTTGCAATAATCCGCCACCAGACGACTGCAATAATCGGCACATCACATGCAAATACGGTCACTCAGATCCGAATTTGTACTACAAATCGAATCTTTAATTGTTAATAACAAAAAAACGGTGCAAAATTTTCACTTTCCGCCAACGGATTTCGAAGTTTTAGAAAAAAACACATCATTTCCATATTTTACTTTATTTTTTTAAGCTGTTTTTACCGTGGACCGCACTTGTAAACAATTACCCTTACCTATTTGAAGAAAACGATCCATTATGTTTTTAATAACAATTTTGTCATGTCCTGCTTTACTCTCGTGTGTACTGTGCCGCTTGCCGATCAGCCATCGATATCCCAGGGAGGGGAACAACCAGAGCGAACACTTACACGGCAGTCACAACAAAGATAAAGAAAACGGAATTTTAAATCGACTATCTGGACATGGACTAAAACAGGGGTGCTCAAGATCGTCTTATGGCAGTGCGTTTACTAACACATCCACAAGAAAACGTGTACATATGTAGCGGCGCGTTTGTGTTGGGGCGCAGCTGTGCACTGAGAGAAAAAAAAGTTTTAAATATTTATTTTTGGCTTTTTTTTATTTATTACGCATTGTATTTCGCATTTAAAGTTTATGTTAAAAAAACTGCTCTCTAATTCATCACTCATTTTGATCCGCCAAAAAATTTAACATAACACATACGATGGTCCACCACGAAATAAATCAAAAGCCAACGCAGACAGAAAAATAAGTTTCAGTGCATGTGCTCGAGGAAAAAACAAAAACAAAATACATTGCGATCAGATAAGCGTGACGACGGACAGAGATGTAATGAAGAAACAAGCAAAATTGTTTTTGTTTCGCATGCAAATCGAAGCCCATATGCACGGTGCTTATGGGCGCACTATCCATAAGCACAGAGCTCTACAAAAACAAAAGTGCACTCGGTGCATAGGCGTTGAGCACCCCTGGACTAAAACAACGGATTTTGGGACAGATATGTACATATGGTGTCAAAGGCAAGAATCTGAGTCCTCTGAGGCCCTCCCAACCATGGGTGCATCTCGTATTGCACCTCCCTATTATTCTATTCGTGGAAATACTTACTCATCTCACCCCCCTTTTTGAATACTCTACTCACTCATATTCTTTTCTTTAAGTCGTTATAATATAAATATTTATACTTAAATATTAACATATTTAACACCTAACACCTACCCACGGTACCGAGGGACGCTTTACAAGGACATGTATATATAAATCATAATAAATAAGTAATAAATAAATAGGGAATAAATATGGCGAATATTACGAAGTAATAAATACCTAATAACATAATGAGCAGGCGTTAATTAATTTGCAGCAAATAAATAATTCTAAATAATTATGATTTCAAATAAATATGCGTTTGAATAATTACATTCGGGCGGGTTACATACTTAACTATTTAATTTAGGTTATGACTTTGATTTGCGGGCAGTTCTTTTTTTGTTGTAGTTTTTCTCAGTTAGTTCGGTCGGCATACAAGATTTTGATTTTGAAATAAATTCGGAATAAAAACCTGTGGCCACCCAGGAATGAGTGGGCAATTTTCGGCGCGAAGAGTTGTCCCTTCCTGGTGGCTGGTCTTCTTCTATTCCTCCAGAATTTTCTTTTTCCTGACTTGATATTCGCTCCGGAATAGTTGGTAGGAATTATAAACATTAATTAAACAAATTTTCTTCTCCTTCCTTTTTTCCTCGCCAAAAAAACACTCAAAGTTTTTCAAATTCACCTTTGGTTCACTTGGGAGTCAGGTACTCCTGGGGAACCAGTTCCAGAGGCTTAAAACATCGCAACCCTGCCTGGACTCACGCATAATCGATAACTTGTTATCGGCGGCCGTTGGTAAACATATATTGTTTACATTTTATTTGGTTTTAAATTTTCCGTTTGGCCGCACATAACAATTTATAAAACTCTGTAACAAATTCGCGCAATTTCCTTTTCTTTACACTTTAAACGTAGACATGTGAAAACCAAAATATCGACGATAGCGATTGACCACTATCGAGAGTGCGCGCAGCTATCGATTGCGTATCGATAGTGGCAAACCATCGATAGTCCCGATAGTGCCATCGATAGTTCTCCACCTCTAATTGTGGTTGTTGTTGGTGTCGTCTTTGTCCGTCTGCTTCTTGTTGTTTTTCTATGGCGTCAATTCTTTCCCATATTTCGCAGGCTTTGTCCCAAGGTGGTGGTGGGTCGTGGTTGACGAGCGATAACAGCGCTGATCGTAGTCGTCGTAATTTAACGATCCTCCCTCCTCGTTGTCTCTTCGCTGGTGGTGATGGGATCGGAGTTTTTCTTATGACGCGTGGTTTCGGGCCGGCTGCTGGTTCTATCTTCAGGGCTTCTCTGATGGCCTCCAGATGGGCGCTCTTGTCTCCTTTCAAATTTATGTACCGTTGTTGGGCCCACTGGATAGTGTTCTCCAACTTTTCCTCTTGTGGATGAGGTTCCACTTTTCTAGCCGGTATGTTGGCTATGGCTTTATTATTTTTTTTTTATGCTGAGCATGCCTATTTGTATTGGCTTGGGCTCTTATTATTTTTCCTTTGCCGATATTAGGCACGATCCCCATGTAATAGGCGTAATGTTTGAATGACTTTATTCGAGTTCAAGGCCCGTCTTTTATACGTTTCGCTTTACATTAGTTCTTATGCATAAGCTTAATCCTAACTGTTCTTATGTTCTTACCGTAATTTTACGTTAGTTAATATGAAACATGTGTTAATTAAAGGAGCTTTGAAGTTTAGTACATTGATCGGTCAAAGGAGCTTTGGAGCTTTGGAGCATGGTTTATGTCTGTTATACAAAGGGTGTTATATTTGATGTTTATATACGAAAGGCTGACATACGAATGCTACACTACCATAAAAGTTGCTAGGTGTCCTATCCAAATGAAACGAACTGTATATCATAATTCTAATTATGTTGTTAACGTTGTGACTTCATCGATAGATTTTTCTGTTTGTTCTTCTGACTTTCATGGGTCACTAGCATCAGCAGTTGGTGATTTATGTATGGCTCAATGCCAAATGAAAAATGGGATAACAATTTTGTTTGTTGCACTGTATATATCTCCTAATCAGAAGTTGGACGATATTATTAATTTTCTGCACCATTCATTGTTGCCGTACACAAGTGGAGGTGCCTCTTTATTCGGTAACAATAATGATAAAATACCGATTTTTTAAGTGGATATTTTAATGCCAATTTTGCATCGGAAAAATCTTTGAAGCTAGTTGAATTTCTGAAAGATAAATTGAATTTATCCATGAAAAACAGTCCTCAAACGTCAACAACAAGATCTGGCACTACAATCGATGGAGTTTTTACTCGGCCACTAAATTTCGTGGAATGTAAACCATACGTATGTATATTTCATACTTCAGTTACCATTAGCCATTAACTACAAAAATATATAATAAAGATAACAATGATAGTAATAACTCTATTACAATTAATGAAATGCTGTAATAATCTTAGTAGCAAAAAGTTAAAGTGAAATAAAGTGAAATAATTGTATTATTTGTATTCATGTCTATGATAATAAAATCCTTTTGTTTAAACTTTATCTAATTTAAATTTATTTAACCAATTTCTGGAAAGTTGCATGTAGATCATTTTGCGAAAAATAAGGCCATAAAGAAGTTTCACTCTTACGTGTATACACTAGTACACTTACACATTTTTTTTGTTTACAGAATCCTGGTTAAAGACGGAGATCTTTAGCTTCGAAGTTTTTCCCGGTAAGTACACAATATATAGGCATGACCGTCCCTCTTGACGGGGAGGGGCGTCCTTATTGCAGTGGACGCTAACCTCACATCAGAAGGGGTTTTAACAGAAGATCCTTTGAACTTAAAGTGACAATTTTTATGCGTAAGACGGCCTGCCGCTGGCGGGTTAATTTTTATTACCTGCTCTTACATATGTACATACCTCCTTCGTCCGATCCTGAGGACTATTTTAGGCACCTATCAGTTATAAAGTCAATTTCGTTAGTAGTTCTAGGTGATTTTCATATACCTGGAACTATGTGGTCCTCGAATGTTGTAACCCATAGGCCACAATGAATTCATTGACGGTCTACTTGACATACCTCTCTGTCAGGTAAGCCATGTTCGAAACTCATTAGATCGTTTACTTGATTGTGCCTTGTCTCAAATCCTGAAAGCGTTTTTCTTTCCAGGGCAACACCACTTACGCTACCTGAAGATCCGTATCACCCTGCTATCGAGGTGACTATCGACACTGGTATAACAGTTAAAAATAATGCTATTAAGATAGCCAAG